CAAATAAAAGAATAGGTGAATACATAGCTGTTTAGGAAGCTTGTTTGTTATAATGTGACACTGTGTGTGTTACACTATATGAATTGGCTGGTGGTTCTCCTAGTCTGGATCAACTAGTATCTGTCTGGTCATCTCATGTATCTGTGGCAGTCGCTGGACTGGCAGTGAGGATCTGGGAACCAGGATGGTCTCCTGTTGGGATGGATCTCAACAGACTAATCAGCCAGGGTAACAAGAGCCAGGAGGCTGTGTGCTCTCATCTTCTATGAGCTTGGCTCGCGCTTCTCGTGGTAGCTGTTGTGAAGTCTGTAAAGCAATAAGAGGGAACAAGCTCCATTATAAAAAACATTTTGTAAGGTTTTGCTCACATTGCCCTGAGCAAGTTCCTTTAGAAGGCTAGCCAAAATTAGTAAGGAAAATCTATGCATGGCACTTTTTGTAGTCTACCATAATTATCAGTCACCATCATTGTAAAAACCATGCTTGTTGAGCATTTACCTAGTTCCAGATGCTAATCTAATCATATTATCTTCATCAGACAGAACCTGTAGTTCTAGCCACAACCTGATGATGCAGTTACTTCCCTGTCCATGTACGGTAGAGAAAGTAACAGGCTCAGAACAGCACAGCAACCTTCCTCCAAGGAAGGTGTGCTGGATAGCTTTAGTGTCAACTTGACACACCTGGGTTGAGGGAGCCTCAATCGGGGAATTGCCTCTATTGGACTGGCCTGTGGCCATGTCTGAGGGGCATCTTCTTGATGAGTGATGTGGGAGGGCCCAGCCCACTGTGAGTGGTGCCACCCCTGGGCAGGTGGCCCTGTGTTGCATAAGAAAGCAGGCTGAGCAGGAGCCAAGGGAGCAAGCCTGTAAGCAGCGTTCCTCCATGGCCTGTGCTCCAGCTCCTGCCTCCAGGTTCCTGCCCTGAGTTCCTACCTTGGGCTCCCTAATGAACTGCGTGCGACCTGGGAGATGTAAGACAAATAAACCCTTTCCTCCCCAAGTTGGTACTGGTCAGAGTGTTTTGTCACAGCAATGAAGAACAAACTAAGACAGAAGGTCACACAGCTGGGAAGTGGGGCAGGGAGACAAAGCAATGCTCCAGAATCATAAGTTTTATATTGCCTTGTCATCCTGCTCTGTATGAAATGGAACCAATAATAAGAGGAAGGACTTCAAGAATGACGGGAGATTGTGAATTTCAGAGATTCCACCAAGATCAAGAAATCAGAAATAAGGAAAATCTATTAGATTAGAACAAATTATTTGGTGCAGTGCTTCACCTATAGGTTAAGTGTTCTTTGGGGGAAAAAAAGTCGGTGCTCAAATAATATGAGGAAAGCAGAGTTTCCATGATTCCTTCGTTTTATAATAAGTAAGTAATCTCTGTTAAGCAATAGTAACCTGGTTTGGACATGGTCCCCAAATATTACCATGTATACCACCTCTTTGTCCACACTTAACCATTTTTCTAGTAAACCCCTTGAATTCTATTGTCCATAATTGGTATGACTTGGATTTGCTAGCTCAGGGTCATCTTTTGGGGTCTTTGTTGGGCATGCTGGCTGTGAGGGAGGCATGTTAGATGTTCTTTCTTAGAGCTCTTTATCTTCCGTTGCTTTGCTCGTGTTTAAGATGAGGTAGAACTTTTTTCAGAGCAGAGACTGTCTTTCTCCCTGTATACTCAGTGATTAACACAGGAAGAACATGTGGGATACACTGAGGGGGCTCAGTGCATATTCACTGTAAAAAACCACATCCTTATTCACACATCACTAAGGGAAGGGCACACTACTAATAACTGGACATTGGCCAGGTATGATCATTAAAGAGAGGAAGGGACTTGTACCAACTGTTGAACTTGAACTCTATGTGATGGAGAAATCCTGGCCATTTGATGCCTCATGGGAATGCCCAGTGCTACCATATTGTTCAAATGTTCAGGGGATATTGCATCTTCAAATGCACATATAAACTTTACTGATTTTGAAACATTGAGTTAGGTGAAGCCAGTGTGTTGCCTAAATCTGGCTCCTGAACATCAGTTTGTGACCTCCCTATATTAACTGCCTTTTAACTGCAGTTTAATTATCCTATTGCAGTTTAATTGTCCTGAAGGCCCTAGGTAGGAGAGAATCACAGAACAGGTGGAAATGGGGTCATAGGATAATAAGAGGATGGACTTCAAGAACAATGAGAGGTTGTGAATTTCAGAGATTCCACTGAGATCAAGAAATTGGAAATAAGAAAATCTACTACATTACAACAAATTATTTGGTGAGCACTTCACCTGTAGGCTAAGTGTTCTTTAGGAAAAATCCTTGGTCAAATAATATGAGAAAGAAACATTCAATTAAACAAAACAACAATTTGTTTATTCCAACATCTCTAATTGTCTTTAATATTCCATTAGGCAATATAAAACCTCTTAAAGCGGGAATATTTACTGTTTTTCAAGTTTCTGTGATCAGAGAGTCTGTATGTCATGCCATCCCTTCTAGATTTAAGACTTTGAGGGGGAAAAAAACTTGAAAAAGCTGGAGAAGGGACTAAATGACCCATTGGGAATCTGTGACACTATGATGTAAAGCCTAGAATTCAAGGACTAGGGACGGTAGCAAGAAAATGAAGTCAGTGACCTACTGGTAACTAGGAACTGTCTCCCTTTCAAAATCATTTTAGCCTCATTCATCTGCTAAGAACAAATACCAAATACCAGGAGCTGCTTACCTCTATTAAGAGTTGAAACTCTGACAGGGCTCTCCTTTCTCAGACTGCCTGGCCTTCTTCATTGCCCAGTTACATCCTCCACGCCTCTCTGCTCTGTACACCCTGCTCAGCTTGCTGTTGGCAGGACACAGCCTGCATTTTCCAGCCTCTTCACTTGGCCTTCTCTCCTGAATTAACTTCTCCACTTGCTGCAGTTAGAGTCACAACTGCCTCCCAAGGGTCAAGCCAAACTCTCCTTCCCCTATGAATATAGTTATCTTTATCAGTTCTCACAGGGCATTCCTTTCCATGAACTTTTGGTGCATTGACTTCTGAAGGGCTTGTGTGGAACTTGCTATGTTACACAATACCTGTGTGACTGTATGGCAGGAAGTTCCCCTCTTTGATAATGTCAATGTCAAGGAAATTGAGGCATTGAGAAGAAAACCATGTCCTGAGCTCAGCATTCACCCTAGATAGGGTTAGGATGATACTGTCCAGCCACACATAAAAGCACAGGGATAACTGCATTACACTGTAGAACATAGACTCTACTCTGTGGTTACAAAACCTCACCATTCCTTGAGGGCAGAGGAGTGCCTTCTCTCCTGGAGACTTACCCAATAGTAATGGGTGCCATTTCTTAACACTAAGTCAAGTATACTGTGTGAGTTTGTACAGTGATTCCTACAATGTCCCTAAGAAGAGGTATTATTATCCTCACTTTACAGAAGAAACTCAAAGCATTCAAGTCATGCTCATGTTCATGACCAGTTCTCCGACCAGCCAAGGCAGAACTAGGTGTCCATCTCCTCCAAAACCTCACCCCAAAACCTGGACTGGGACCCAATACACCATCTCCATGGCCATACTGACCTCCTCCAGAAGTTTAATGACAGAGAATAGAGGCTGAGAATTCACCCTGTGCCTCCAAATGGCAAGGATATATGAGCTGGCAGAGGAAAGAAGAGTAGAAACCTAGTGAAGTTTAGCCCAGTTTGAATGGCATAGGCATTCTAGAATCATCATAGGGGCTCATAAGAACCAACACAGCTTGATGCATAGAGGGTCTCTTAGAGTTAAGGTAGATATTGGGATGTACAGGCCCACAGGGATTGCATGAATAACCCAGAAGGCATATGAAGGTCTCTCTTTCCTAGACATTGATGCTACTAAAAAGGGAAACCTCCATTTGTCACCCTGCCATAAGCACTTTGCAATTCTATGATTTCTGTAAGAGTAGAAACTCTTTGATTTGCCCAGACCTGGCACTGTAACTGTGCCTAAATACATAATAACTATCGTTGGTTTGAAGTCAGCCAAAGCAAGCTGCTCAGCCTGTTGTGATAGATACTGTGTAAGGTAGTAAGGCTTCCTTCCACCATCACAGAGATATAGGTTTCCCTCCTTGTGACATTTCTTCCATATTATTCACATATTATCTGAACACATATTAACTCTCCAAAACACTTTACAAAGCCCAACACCTTCCTATAATAGTGTCAACATACTATTCAGGCCTCTTCTTCAAAATGAGACTGTAAAGTCCTACCACACAAGCAGCGTGTGCTACCCTTTGCACTTGCCTGTGGGTTTTGCTGCAGTGAATTCCATAGAGCAGGGTCTATGTTCAACCACTTTGAACGATTGCACTAGAATGGGAAGGAGATTCAAGAAAAGGACAGACAGTGCAAGAAACGTGGACAGGCTGTCAACTCTTTGAATGTGGTAGATGAGAGGGGAGGAAGGGAATAAAAGATTCAAAGACTTTGATCTCATTTGATAGCTAGGAAGATTATGCCCAGGAAAGAAATGGGGAAGTTCTCCTTGCCTGTGATCCTCTCGTACTCACATTACATTGTTCAGGAGCAAAAATTCCCAGTGAACATCAGGCTGAAGCATTTGTGGAGGCAGACAGACATAAATAGTCATACAGGAGAGTCCAAAAAGATGAGAGAAAGGTTTGTCCTTGTCTCTCTACAGAAGAGCATTGCTCTCCTGTGGAGGAGGAGAAATTTGAGCCGAATGTATTTTTGGTTGGTGCAACTTTAAGTGCTCTGTTTGATAGCAGAGTTGTTTGAATGGCCTATTTCATAACTACACATAGCTTCTCCAAATAAATGGTGTCTGTAGAATGTTCAGGTTAATGCATGAGTGCAGAGCTCAAAAGTGTTTGTGCTTAGACCAACCGAGCCTTCTTTCTTAATAAGTCATCTTGGCATTTTGTCAACAAGTTAATTTGCTTTTCTAAGAAACTAGATTAATACTTCCTGTGCTTTGTGCTATTCACAGATCTACAATGCAGTAAGGCAAGGAGAAGAAACAGAAGATACAGTTGGATCTCTTCTCCATTGCTTCACAAAGCTCCCAGCCTCAGAGCCAGCCCTTGGAAGGATTAGAGATGGTCTGTGCTTAAAGCGATGTGTCCGAGACACCTTATGTGAGTACCGTGCCACGCTCCAAAGAACATCCATTTCTCGGTACGTCACCGGCTCTCTCCTAGAGGCAACCACCTCTTTGGGAGCAAGAAGTGGCCTTCTCAGTACTTTTGGAGGATCTACTGGACGAATGATGCTGAAAGGTAATGTCTGAAATTTAACTTTTATCTTTTTGTATTTGCCTTTAGAGAATAATGTAATTAGCCACTATGCATCTCCTGATGGAAAATTGAGTTCACATGTTAATAACTCTTAAGTAAAAGATTAGTAAAAGTAACTGCTTTGGGTGAATATAAAAGGTAGTCAATCTCCATTAAATCTCATTTCAAGTAATAAGCATTAAGATTTTGAAGTTTTCAAAAACAGAAAAAATTTTAAATCCTGTCTTTAACTTTTTTACATTTATTTTGTGTATGTGCATGAGCATGTGAACAGCTGTGTCACAGTGGGTATGTGGAGGTCAGAGAACAGCTTGTGGATGTTGGCTCTTTCCTTCTACCATGTGGGTTTGAGGGATTAAAGCAGGTTGTCAAACTTCGAGGCAAGTGCTGTTATGCACTCAGCAATCTCTCCAGTCATTTAATTTAAAATTTGTTATTATTATTATTATCATTATCATTGTTAGTCAGGCAGGCAATAGTCCAAAAGAGGTATCAACAGCTATAAGAGGCTAAGCAAATATAATCATGTGGTCACATTGAAAATAAGTGGTGTTTGGGAACAGAGTGAAATATAGATAAATACACATATAGAATCAGTAGGCTCCTATTGACAAGAAAAGCCAAGAACCATTTTTCAGTGCACTTGAACATCCGAACTTCCCTGTTATTGCCACAAAAGGCAGACAGGCAGGTCAGAAAAGGCAGTGCACCAGAGAACCTCAGAAACTTGCTCATAGCACAGCTGTCACAAACTGCTTGGCAGCCTTCCCTTGCAGGATGCTACCAGCTAGACAGGGACCATGCAGCGTTGGGTACAGCTGCCTGAGGGCTACCAAGAGTTCCATCTGACATCCAGCTATTCTGTCACAAAGAGTAGATATTATCCCTCCACAGCAAACCCTGAGGCCAAGACTAGCTGGCCAATGACCTTCCTTCATTGACCTTCAACCTTCCTTGTACCACCCACACATTCACCCTGAGCAGGCCCAAAAAGGATGCCACTGTCTCCCTATGTAGCATATTGAGTGCCGTGTTGGATGATTTTCCAGATTCACCTTAACTTCTGGGGATTGACTTCGAATGATTAATGGAAGGAAAAGACAATGTGGAAACACTAATCCAAGGCGCTAATGAGGAGAAACTTGGTTTTAGCTGGCCAATGACCTTCCTTCATTGACCTTCAACCTTCCTTGTACCACCCTCATGGAGCTTATACTGTCTACATGGTAAGGGTCTCCCTATGTAGCATATTGAGTGCCGTGTTGGATGATTTTCCAGATTCACCTTAACTTCTGGGGATTGACTTCGAATGATTAATGGAAGGAAAAGACAATGTGGAAACACTAATCCAAGGCGCTAATGAGGAGAAACTTGGTTTCATATGCATTTCATCGTGTGTGTGTGTGTGTGTGTGTGTGTGTGTGTGTGTGTATGTATGTATGCTGCCTGCAAAGTGCTAGGTGCAGGTGCTGGAAAGGGAACAAAGCATCATTCCTTCCCTCATGGAGCTTATACTGTCTACATGGTAAGGAATTTTCCATACACAGGATTAAAGGTTTCTCCACTCTGGTGTGGCCCCCAGAGACTAGCAGGCTACATTCTCCATAGTGCTCTTCCCAGGACATTGAGCTGAGATTAGCATGTGGAACTGGCATGGTTTCAATGCATGTAAGTGTATGCCAGGACCTCATGAGAGTTCACCAGCCTGCACGTAGCAGATACCCATGCTCTGCCCTCCGAGTGCAGGTGTTCTGGAGGACTCTACTGAAGTGCTGTCGGGCTGCATGCTTGCCATGTATTTATGAGAAGGCTAGACTTGTATTACAAAGTAATCAAAGAATAATATGAAATTGTAGAGAGTAAAGTACCGTACATGACTATAAAATACTCTTAAGTGTTTGAAGTGTGGAGAGGGGGTTAATGTTTTATATGGTCTGAAAAGTAAGACCTCAAAAAAAGACAAAGTCAGCAAGCTACCCTTTTTCTTCCCCCTGCATTCTTCGCACAGATATCTAGGGTCTCAGCCAAGGCAGGAATGCGTGCAGTCTTCCATAGACCTGTAGGAAGCATAAACACTGCTCAGTACACCTGCTGTCCCAACAGTAACTTGATTTCGATTGCTATTTCACTTCTTCACACTGGAGTCTCATAAATCGTTATTTTGCTGGAGACTCACTAGACCATCAGCTAAGTGTGATCTTTCAATTAGTGTTTTAAGTAAGAGTTGAAGTTCTTTAATTTTCTGTCTTATAGCTTCTTAATGGTTTCTCATATTGAATAATACAGTTAGCTGGGTGCTTCCTGATTTAGGCTTATTTTTGTAGTTTCTAGCTTGCTCTCTTCAAAGCTGTTTTCAACTTCTGCTCTTCCATGGGGTTTGCAGTTTCAGTGTGCCTTAATTAAATATATGCTTCTTCAACCTGAAGTAGAAAAAATATGCATAAAAAAGATGGGTTTCTCACCACACAAAATTATGTATATGAGATAAATCATATGCCAGTTAGTTCAAATGAGTCATTCCACAATATTTGTACATGTGTATTTCAAAACATTGTATTACACACAATAAACATGATTTTTGTCAATTTAAAAAGTTTTAAAAAACACGTGAACCTTCAAGGTCACAGGGAATTGACAGAATCTATAGACTCTGTATGTTGGCTAGTAGGTCTTGAACCATATACCAACATCATCCTCCAGGTGATCTGGAGGAGGTAGGTGGGTGCTGCACTTTGATTGGCATTTCTTTTATTGTTCAGTATGTGTACTATGGTATGATTTCATCAACATCTTTCATCTTATAACTGCTGATGAAAACTTATTATTATGGATCCAGGCCTGGTGGCACATGCCCACAGTCCAAGCACTTTAGGAGACTGAGGGAGAAGGATCATCACTTTGCAGCCAGCCTCAGCTCCATAGCAAGACTCTGTCTAAAAGAAAACCAAGAAAGAAAGAAAAAAAAACTTATAAGGAATGGCTAAGACACAATCAGTCTCCAGTCTATAAGCTGATCTTGTTCTAGACGTTTATTTCTCAGGTACCCTATGGACCTTTGGACACTGTCTTGGAGAAGCAGTACTAAATGTAGTTTGATTCCTAGACTCTAGTCCTCAAAACTCTTTTAACCCATATATAACGGAAATCTACAGACTTCTCATGGAGTTAAAAGGAAAGTTCTAGCACAGGAATGCTGAAAGTCAGCCTTCAGCAGATTGCAGGGTGGGAGCCATTAGAAGCAGGTTAAATGACATTTCTTGTGAAAAAGAAATAATTTTAATTGAAAAAGAGTAAAGACTTAAAGCTTTCATGGGACTTTGAAAAGAACCCTTAGCTATTTCTGAAATGCTTTGTGTTGGCAGCTGCATTTCTTCATTATGGTTAATTATACTTTGAAACTCGTGCCTTTATGAAATAATCAGAAAATTATCCCAGTTACTTTTTTAAAATGGAATGCTTACAAATGGGATGAAGGAAGGGAAAAGGAAAAGAATGAGACTAAATTTTCCCCCAGAGAGAAAAGGAAATGGAGAGGATCAAAAGGATGACCTCCTTGGGGAGAAATCATGCTCGAAGTCTGTGAAAATGAATTGGGGGAGATAGAGGGCGAGGAGGGTAAAGAGAGATTCCACTTGTGTGAGGCACTTAGAGTAATCACAGTGGTAGAGACAGAAAGTAGAATGGTGGTTTTGAGGAGCCTAGTAAACATGGAATGTGGGGTTAGTGAGTACAGAATTTCAGTTTTGCAAGAGGAAAGATTTCTGGAGATGGGTGGTGACATAGCTGTGTGAATGTACGTAAAACTGCACTTAAAAGCTTTTGAAAAGCACAGCCTCCGTTGTATGTATTTTACCACAACAAAAGATAAATGAAAGGTGGGGGCGGGGAGATCATGCTATGCAGGGTTTTCTTCTTGTCTATGTGAGCTTGCAGAGAACCGAGGAACTCCCCTCCTGAAAGTGGCTCTGAGCACTGTAGCAGCCTGTAGGGGAAATGGAGGGAGAGAAGGCCTAGCGGTTTATCAATATTCCCAAGTCAGGAGCGTCTCACTCAGGGTCTGCATGTCCAGAGTTCTGCATCCTTCGCCATAGTGTATGGGACGATACAGAAATGGCCGACAATCAGAGCGCAAACATGCCTGGCTTTTCTGTCTTCGGGATCACTGGGAACGGCCTACTAAGTTGAAAGTTTCCCAAATTTAGAGAGACATTTTCTTTTTTAATATTTTATTATTTTTATTTTATGTATATGAGCATTATGCCTGTACGTGTGTAAACGCAATACCGATGGAGGTCAGAAGGGACATCAGATTCCCTGAAACTGGAGCTATGGATGGTTAGTCACCATGTGGGTGCTGGGAATCAAACCCAGATCCTTTGAAAGAGCAGCCAGTACTCTTAACCACTGAGCCATCTCTTCAGCCCCAAAGAGAGAGACATTTTCTTAAAGATTTATTTATTTGTGTGTGCGAATGTGCCTCTGTGTGTGTCTGTGTGTGTGTGTATACAAGAGCACTTGCTGTGAGTGTGAGAAGAAGCCAGAAGGTGTCAGATGCCCTCCTCTGTCACTCTCCACCTGTTTCTTTGAGGCAGAATCGCTCCCTGAACCCGAGTCTTGAGTTTTCTCAGCCAGAGTGGAAGCCAGCAAGTCCCAGCAGTCCTCTTACCTCCATACCCCACAGAGCTGGGGTAACAGGCTTGTGCTCGATACCCAGCTTGTTGCATGGGTGCTGGTATCCTAACTCCAGCCCTCATGATTATACAGAAAGCGCTTCTAAGTGCTGAGCCATATCTCCAGCCCCTTCAGAGATATTTTCTGCTATAAAGCATTGATTTAAAAAAAAAAAAAGGAAAATGCATTGATCAGCCAGAGTGTGCCCTTAATTGCAAGGGTATGCTGTCTCAAAATAGACAAATGGAGAGTTTGTGCCTTTCTAATTTGGCATAGTTAACCTCTCTTTGCTTCCTGGTCTTAGCCTTTCC